TAACCGGGTCCCCCTACCCGGGGTCCTGGCTATACCCGACAAGAGCAGTCTTGGGCCGCTCCTGGCTCGACATCGGGACAGCCTGAAAAACAACCGAAACAGTGCCAAACAACATTTGGTGGGCGCCGCGAGCTGTCTGGACCAGCCTCTGGGGCCGTCTTTGACTACCTACCAGACCACCCCAACCCAACCCGAAGACCCGAATTTCGGGTTGGGGTATGGGTTCCGTACGTGTTTTTGTTGATGTTCCCCGACGCCCCCCCCCCCCCACCGGAAATGGAGGGCAAATTGAGGCCTTCGGGTTGGGTTGGGATGGTTTGGTAGGTGGTGAGTCTTGGGGCTCTTGGCCCGATCTCGGCGCTCCCCGTGGGCGTCCCGACGCGCGCTCGAGACGCCCAGAGGCACGCCCGGCCACGCCAGGGGCTCCGGGGGGCCCGCCGAAGCCGCGCCACGGGCCCGCCGAGGCCGATTTTGCACACTGGATCCGTTTCCCATCCCGCACGCGCTTCCCCCGGCCATGTGGAAAAGATGACGTTGGGCTCTAACTCTGTGCACCCCAGCGGCCCAGCGGCACCCGGGGAGGGCGACGGAACGGCGGAGACGACACTACGACTCCTCCTTCATGATCCTCCTCCTCCTCCTCCTCCTCCTCCTCCTCCTCCTTCTCCTCCTCCTCCTCCTCCTCTTACCCTCCCACTCACATTGCGTTGCCCTACTCCCTTCCTCAATGCCTCCCCGTCCCGCCCTCCTTACAGGTCCCCTCGGCTCCCACGCGCGCCCTCTTTACCCCCCGCCACCGCCACCAGAGCGGCGTCAGATGCTGCCTCCGTAATCTACTTGCCGTCGCTCGGGGGAACATTCACCGTGCATTGCACGCCCGAGCGATGCCACGTCTGGTGACAACCCTCTCGCAGGCGTGCGCGAGCCCCGGCGGGCTGCGCGTGCCCGCCTCGAGCTCAAACATCGCCCTGTACTCCAGGTTCTGCCCACCTGCGCGGCAAAACGACGGGCCATCTCTCCACGTCCGCGTGCTCACCCCCCCCCGTCCCTCCATCACCAACTCCCCTCCTTGACTCAACTGTCCCTTCAGCGCTGCCTCCCACTCCCTCTGCCTCCCCGCCCGTCCCCAAAATCCTCCCCCGGCCGCTCCTCTTACCCCCCCTCCCTCTCCCCAGTCCTGGGGCTCCACTTTGGGAGGGCTGGAGCGGCGTCGGCTGCAGTCAGCCTCCCCCCCTATGGGGGAGATGCAGTGGGGGCTCGGCCACAAGAAACCTCCGCAAGAAACCCAACCCTGAAATCCGCAATTTGTTCAGTGAGAATCCACATTCGTCGATCGAGAATCGTCAAAATCTTGCTGGGGGCCCATCGAAAGCCAAGAAACCCAGGGCTTTCTAGGCACGCGCCCCCACTGTAGGTGAGCGAGGGGGCGCGATCTGCCTGGAGAGAGCTGCATCCCGCGAGCGCGGTCGCCCTGAGGCCCCATGTGGGAAGAAGAGGGGGGGAAGGTCGAGGACGAAGATCGAAACTTGGCTTTTGAAGGTTGATTCAAGCCTTGAAGAAATTGTCTTGGAGTTTCAGAGGCCATGAGGGGGTCCAAGAGTTCCTCAATGAAGACCTCCTGGACCCCCGGAAAGCTCAGGGCCTCCGCGGACCTGCTGAGGCCTCCAACGCGCTTAACAAATAGGACGATGCGAAAAAGGATGTTGAGAAGAAACATAATGAGCATGAGGAATGGATGTCGGGATGAGAGATGCAGACATGAGGGAGGAACCGATGGTCCACCATGACAGAAACATTGTGACAAAACACTGACAGTATTTTCCATATCCTGTCCTTCCTTCCAATGCCCAGTTTAGTGGTGCTCAGGTTCAGTGGCAGTGCGGGAGGAGAACTACATGGTGTGTAAAAGACAGAAAAATGAAATGTGAATACATCTGGATGTGATCGGTGGTACAACTCAGAGCACAATATATCACCCTCTGCCCACAATATAATGAAAGCGACGAACAACCAACGCGCCCATGATGTCTCAATAAATCTCACGTTGGCCGCAAAACGGCCCCCAAGGCCCTCCCGAGCCCATGTGTTCTTGTTCTCTCGGACTCCCAGAAGCCCACGACGATCCTGACAGCGGTCCAAGACGGCCCCCCTCTAGAGGTCCCTGAGAAAGCACCAGCGAGCTCCAGACCGACCTCAAAGGCCCTAAAGCTGGCCAAAGAAGCCTCCGAGAGGGTTCCACAATGGGATTCCCAAACCCCCAGAACTGGCCAAGAAGCCCCGCAAAACTGGACGGAGACAGCCCAAGAGGCGCCGACGAGGGAGGGACCCGCGACAGCCCCGAGACGACCCGAGAGGCTCCTGGACGGCCCGACAGACCACCAGAGGAGTTTCAAGAGGGGCCCGAGAACTGGCCATCGCTCGGACGTCCATTACCTGTGTTTTTGTTTCGGTTTCGTGCGTGGTTGTTTCGCCAAATGATCAAGGATGCTCCTCGATGGTCCTCGCCGAAGGAAACATGCACACGTCCGAGCGATGCCAAGAGAAGGAACTGGAAGGAGCTCCGGGAGCGATCCCGCCCCCTCCCCAAAGTTGACACCCAAGACTCCCATTAAGCCCTCGAGGGGCCCCGAGAACACAGCAAGACACCCCTGGGAGACTACGACCCCCCCCACGAGGACGCTCGAGAGGCCCTCAGGAGTTCCCAAGAAGCCTCGCGACAGGCCCCATGGCACTCCTGAAAGGCCTCGTCCTCCTACTTCCCCTCCTCCAGCTCCGAAATTAACCTGCGCGAGCCCGATGATTTTTTCCTGTGCCAGGGGTCGGTGAAAAGGCGTAAGCCTCCTGATGGTAGTATACGCGGGATATGTGCGTGACACCCAAACGTATCATACATAAGCCACAGCCTGAACGACATGCAATCACACACCGGATGCGCGCGCGCGTGGAGATAAAGGCGACAACGCGACACGATGTCTCCCCATTCCGTATCGAACGCATGTGGCATTCATCCCACATCGTCCAATTCCTCTGCCACATCCCCACGTATGCATTGAACCTGGAAAATGAAGTGCCTGTGGCAAACAACACTGACGAGAAACAATACAGAGAAGTAAGTGCTCTCGCTCTTGCAATCATGGGCGGCCAACACCAAAAACATGAAGCCGATTTCTGAGGGTGGCTGCTCCGAAATACCTGCCCAAAATCCCCTTCGCACGCAGCAGTGAGAGATAAGGAAACAGTTCGAGCTTAATACAAGTCTATCAAGACGAGAAGGACGCTGTTGATGGCGATGAACAGTAAAATTGCGCGTGCCAGGACGGGATCTGCATATCCGCCACCGTGCTGTTGAGGCACGAGATGGAGTGTCCTCAGGTTTCTGTCAAGGGCCCGGACCCAAAATTACAAATCCTCTGGGGCTTGCGACGTGCCTCCACGGCCCGAGAGGCACCCAAGACGGCCCAAGAGGGCTCCAAGAGGCCATACTGGAGAACCCGAGGAGGTAACAACCATTGATTTGGCGTATGTTGTTGAAGGGTTGTTCAGGTTCTCGCCAATTTGGGTTTCCGACAGCCCAAAACGGCCCAAGGGGCTTCCAAGATAGTTCTCGGACACCCCATGAGGCGCCCGCCCCGATTCAGCCAAAGAGGACTCCACAATCGCCCACGAAGGTCCCGAGAGGGCCCCATGACGATTAAAGCGCTCCGAGAGGGCACCAAGACGCCACAGAGAAGCCCCCAAGACGGCCTCCGAATGCGTCCCACTGGCCACGAGTCCCCTGAAGCAGCCCAAGAGGGCCCAAGAGGCCACCAAGAGGCCCCAGGACACTCCCACGAGGCCCCCAGGAGGCTCCCAGGAGGCCCCCAGGAAGCCTCCTCATTTCGCCCCTCCCTCCTCCTCCCCCTCCTCCCGCCCGCGCGGACGAAGACGACATCGGGATCACACGACCGTCCCCATTTCAGACCAGTCGCTGAACTGCCGCGGGGTGTGAACTCGACGTCCTTCCTACCGCGCGGGCGCAGACAAAGTCGAATATACGACCCGTCCTTTCAGACCGCTAGTCGGAATTGAGCCGTTTCTATACTCAGTCTCCTTCATGCAGCGCTGTTGCCCAGGCACGGTGGCGGGGTTTGCCGCAGGCAGCTAGATCCGCCGCCCCCTGCTTGCAGGGGTGCACGGCGTGCTGGATGTTTCAGGTTTTGGTTTTGGTTCTTTTTCCAAAAGAACTTCCTAGTGGGCTCCGGCAGAACCCGCCGGCCACCCGGAATTTCCCCAAACGTGCTCAACGACCGCAAAAAATCCTCCAAGAACGGCCGTTTCGCTCGGGACATCCTCAACAAATCGCGAAGATGGCCCAAGATGGCCTCCAAGTCCGCCCGAGATGGTCCAAGACGGCCTCCAAAACGGCCCAAGAGAGTCCAAGACGGCCCAAGACGGCCCAAGAGGCCCCCCAGAGGCCTCCCAGACGGCCCAAGAGGCCTCCAAGAGGTCCTCCAGGAGAGTCCGAAGAGGCCAAAATCATTGATTTTCCCTTGGTTTTTGAAGGATTTTGGCATTTGCGCCTTTTCGGCTCTCCGACGGCTCAAGACGGCCCAAGAAGCCCCCAAGATCGCCCAAGAGGCCCCCAAGAGAGCCCCATGATGGCCCAAGTGGCCTCCAAGATGGCCCCTAGAGGGCCCCCGGCCCAAGAGGCCTCCAACACGCCCAAGATGGCCTCCAAGACGCCCAAGATGGCCTCCAAGACGGCCCTGGAGCGCCCCAAGAGGGTCCCCCGTTGGCCCAGAAAGGCCCCCCAAACGGCTCCCGACGGCGTCAGACGTGCCAGGAACCCACCAAGATGGCCGAAGTTGGCTCGAAGCTGGCCCAAAAGGGCCCAAGAGGCCCCCAAGAGGGCCTCCAGGAAGGCCAAAAGATGCCAAAATCACTGATTTTCCCAAGGTTTTTGATGGATTTGGGCATTTCCCTTTTTTCGGCCTTCCGACGGCCCGAGACGGCCCAAGAGCCCCCAAAGATCGCCGAAAGATCGCCCAAGAGGCCTCCAAGACGGCGACGATGACCATCAAGACGCCCACGTGTTCCCCGAAGGCTTTCCAAACCGATTCGGGGAACACATGGTCCGATGGCTTGGCAGGTCTGGCCTCAACGTTCGGCCACATAGGCGCTTCCACAAAGGCAGGGGGCGGCGGTGATTCGCCGTAGGCGTCTTCGATACACATACGTGTGTATATGTGTATCCACACACGCAGGTGTACGGATGCGCGTGTATATCATGTGCGTGGGTATCTGACTGCGCGCATATATGTAGCTATTCAATGTACACTCGCATGCACGTCCACACACACGTGAACGAGACAAGTGGTTGCAACACGAGCAGGACATCAATGAGGGGAAATGCGTCTGGGTATTCGGCAACATCTCGAGCCGCACGCATGGTAGCGGGGCACAGAGGAAGATGCAGACTCCACAAGAGAGCCAGTGGCCAGGAACTGAGGAGGTCGGCCGTGGACCGAACTCTCGAAGCGGCGGACGCTGACCAGCGATCGAGCACGTGCGAAGATCGGATGGTGTGGTGGACAGGCACGCGTCCTCCTCCCTCTCCTCTGGCAACCGCTGGCAACCTCCAAACGAGGTCCAGACCAGCTGGAACTCCACAACCACCCTTGAAACGCCGGGCCGAAAGCCTTGCCGGCACGAGGAGCTCCTCCTCCTCCTCCTCCTCCCCCATCTCCTTTCCCCACGAATCGGGAGAGGGAGTACGCATCTGGGACGCCCTCCCCGCGATGCCTCCTGCCTCCTCCTCCTCCTCCTCCTCCTCCTCCTCCTCCTCCCCCTTCTCCTCCTTCTGTGTCCTCCTCTTCCTCCTCCTCCTCCTCCTCCTCCTCCCTCCCTCCTCCCTCTTCCACCCATCCTCCCCCTCCTCGCCATCCCCCATCTCATCACCCTCCGCCTCCTCCTCTGGCGCCAAGCCGTAAAACATGCCCTGGCAGTTTCAGCGTTTCGTCCGAAGAGGGACATCGAGAGAGAGAAGCAGAGAGAGAGATAGAACATCAACAAACAATCACATCATGCATAAAGAAGGAGAGAGAAAGAGAGAGCGAACGCGAGAGACAGAGAGGGAGAGCAAGTGAGCGAGAGAGAGAGAGATAGGGAGCGAGAGAGGGGAGAGGACGGAGAAACTGAGAGAGAGAGAGGGAAAGAGAGAGAGGGAGAGAGAACACAAACACACGAAGTACGATCTACGTTGTTACATACACCCACGGCTGGTATGCTCTGCTCTGCTCCACTCCCCTCTACCCTGCTCCAATATGCCATCTATTGTCTACTCCGTACCCGCCACTGTCGCAGAAGCAACTCTAGTCTACACTGCTATAATATACTGTACCTTGTCTCCTCTCTCAATTATGTTCCCAAGCTCTGCCCTTCCCATGCTATACCTCTACGTCTACCTCCACCCCTACCCTCCACCCTTAACACTATCATCCGCCCTACTCCCACGATCTACTTTACTTTCTGCCAGTCGCTCTACTGTCGACTCTCCACTCCCTACGTTGTGCTCTCTACCCGAGCAAATCAATCCTCTACCCGGCCGCGCTTTACTGTAGTCCCTACTGTGGTGTAGGGTGAAGGTGGGCGAGTAGCGTAGGAGGCCAGACTAGAGAGCACATCTGCTGGTTGCAGGGTAAACGCTAGCGACTACAGTAGAGCAGGAGGGAGAAGACTGCCAAGGGAGTGGACAGGATGACAGAACCAAAAACTCGAGCTCCCCACCCACCTCACACGATGTTGGAAATCCTTTTACTTAACTTTTGTTCCAGGGGCAAGCAATATGGAAATCCGCGGCCCCTCTGGGAGGCTTTCCTTACCCAGGCACCCGAACAATGAGCACGCCAGCCTGGCCAGCAAGCTGAGGCTGAACAGCGACTGGCACTGGGCACCAAAATGGATCGCCTTTGGCACCCGGGGGGCACGATTTGTCCGCCCCATTGGTGCCGGCAGGATGCACCAGCAAGCTGCCAGAACGGCGGAGGAGAGGAGGAGGAGGAGGAGGAAGATGAGGGGAGGAACGGGGCGAGCCACATGCGCGGGAGCAGCAGCCACACCTCGCGCTGCGACGGCCCCTCAAAAACAAAGGGTCGGCGCTGGCCTCCATGCGGCCAGAGCTCGCCACCAGAATGCACCGCGCGCCGCTGCGCCTGCAGCGGGCGCGCGCGCGTGCTCATTGCCACTTGGTCTCGTCAAGGCTGCCGCTGCTTCCATTGGAGCTCGCAACAGATGGCGAGCATAACGCGGCAATCGCTGGAGGCACGCGGCTATGTGCATGTGTGCGCACCAGAAAACGACGGTACACGGCGGGGTTCGCGCCGGGCCTGCACTGTGTCCACGCTGGTCACGCGCGGGGTCCGCGCGGGTCTTGCGTCGGGCTCCGTCGGAGTCGCGCAGGGCTGGCGCGGGGCCTGCGCTGGGCTCCGCCAGACTCGCGCGGGGTTCGCGCGAGCCCAACGCAAGCCTCGCGCGAGCTCAACGCGAGCCCCGCGCCAACCCCCGCGCGAGCCCCGAGCACGACCCACGCGAGCCCCACGCGAGCCCCACGCAAGCCACACGCGAACCCTACGCGAACCCTACGCGAGCCCCACGCGAGGCTCACGCGAGGCCACGCGAGCCCCGAGGAGGCCCCCAAGCGGCCCCCAAGCGGCCCTTCAGAAGCCTCTAAACAAACACCCAGAAGCCTCCCAAGCGCCCACAGAAGCCTGCCAGTGTGCTCCAGCAGCCTACGGCGGGGCACGTAATCGCACGACAATCGCGACGCTGTGAATGCCTATTCCGCAAACAATGCTTGCACTGAGGAATCGTACCACTCCTGCCAAATGGTTGGATGGGTGCGGCGGGGCTTCGTCCAGTGGACGTCCGTGGGCACCTCGAGGGCGACTCAAGGGCTGGGTGGGCACGGTGGGGCTTCGCCCAGCGGGCACCCGCGGGAGCCTCGTGGGCGCCTCGCGCGCTGGGTGCGTGCGACGGGGTTTCGCCTGGTGGGCACCTCTCGGGCGGGAGCCTCCCCCTGTTTGGGTGTTCTATGGCCCCTCAGGCGGGAACATCCTCCTGCTTGTTTTTTTGAAACCCGTCAGGCGGGAGGCGCCAAAGTCGATTCCAACTGGATTTCAGTTCGATCCCAATGAAAAGGGATCAGAGATCCCAGATCCATTCTACCCCATTTGTATGTGAATTGAGTTGCTATTGCATTCCAGTGAGAATGGCGGAGCCGCTTCCACCTTCTGCGTTTGCCTCTCGTCCCCCCGCCACTCCGCCCTCCCTCGCAGCCCTCACCCTCGGCCAGGCTCTTGACCAAGGCCACCCCCACACCCACACCCATCCATCCGCCTCGGTCCCTCCCTTACAACCGACGCCGTGAGGCAGCCCCCGCGCTGGCAAGCCCCGGCGGCCGAGAGCATCGCAGTACGGCCGACGCCCACGGAGAGGGCACGCAGCACGGGCCATGCTCCCTTCATCTCCACTTCCCTGCTATCCTCGCGCACCTGGAAGACCCAGGAAGCTGCGAAGAGTCTTCCGTCCTCCTGGGCCCTGCAAGCAGGAGGATCGAGCATCGCTGCCCCTGAACGTTTCTTGGTTCCTGCGGGACCAGACCACTGCAGGCCAGAGGCCCCCGGGGACAACCCTGCGGGGGGACCTCCGGGGGACGTGCAAAAGCCCCGCGGGCAGCGCCGGTGGCGCACCGCCAGAAAGGGGATTTCTGGCCATCGCTCGGACGTCCATTTCCTGTGTCTTTTTCGATTTCGTGCGTGGTTTTTTTCGCGAAATGATCAAGGATACTCCTCGATGGTCCTCGCCGAAGGAAAAATGCACACGTCCGAGCGATGCCAAGACGTCAGGGAGAGGCGGGCAGCTCCGCCGAGGGGCGGGTGCGGCGCGGCACCCGTGCCCCGCGGGCTCGCGACGGGCCGCGGGGGGCCGGCCGCGGGAGGGGCACGTGCGGTCGGTGCTCATGGGCCTGCACGGCCGCCAGCCTCAGGGAGGCACCCCGTCCGAGCGGGGGCAATAGTTATATCCATATCCAGTGCGTCTTGGACTTTCTCGGAAGGGGCGCCGCAAGGACGAGGCGCACTGGATATGGACAAACATTGAGCCTTTGGGAGGCAGCTTATAATCCATATCCAGTGCGCCTCATGCTTCTTGGGAAGAGAGTCCGAAACTCCAAGACGCACTGGATGTGGACATAGACATTGCCTGCACGTCCGACCGGGGCTGGTCACAGCTCGGGCCCCGTCCGCCGTCGGCAAACTCTGGCAGCAGCCCCTCGTCCGAAGGTGGCGGAGGAAGGGGGGGAACGGCACTGGAGGGATGAGGCTGCGGCGGAAGAGACGGAGACGGAACAGGACGGAAGAGGAACGAGCGGAGCGGTAGGAGAGGGAGGGGGCGCAGCGTAGGAAGCCGAGGGGGAGGAGGCGGACGCGGAGGAGGACGGTAAAGGAGAGAAATGGAGGAATGCGAAGACGGGGAGAGGCGGGAGGACCATGTAAGAGGACGGATGAGGACGGAAGAGAAAGGAGGAGTGAGGACAAGGGGGAGGAAGGAGGAGGAGATGGAGGAGCGCACGTCCCTCTGCGGAGACGGGTCGTTCTCTGGGCGACGACGCGCCGCCGTGCATGCACGGGCCCAGCTTCAGCGCGACGCGGGCGGCCTTGATGAGGCTGGCGCTCTGCTCGTAGCAGTTGGCATTGATGCGGTGGGTGCCCGCGGGCACGGAGATGAGGCTCAGCGCGTCGACGGAGTAGTTCCGAACCGTGGCGCAATCGTACTTCAGGTGGTCGTTTTTTTCCTGCAGTAAGCCCGGTACAGCACGGCGAAGCCAGAGACCGAATCGAGGATGTTGTTTTCGTCCGACGCGCCGTCAACGCGAGTTCCCAAGCCCATGCGCGTCAGCACGTCGGGCGCCAGTATGCCGCGAGGCAACGCGACGCGGTGCTAAGCTCGGCGGCAGATCATGTAGTGGGCCTGGCCGTCAGCATCTGCAAGACCGAAGATGCAGAGATGTTTCAGCGGCTGCACGCGCATCCTGAACGTAATTGGCCACCCTCCCGCGTGCGTCTTCACGATGGGCCAGAGTCGCGATGGTGGCATCTTGGCGATCGTAGAACGAGCTTTGACACATCTTCTGTGGATTGTGGGCGGCAGCTGGATTATGGACGTGAGGTCGTTGTACTTCTCGTCGCCCAAACAGCAGTCCAACCAGCTGGCGCCAGGCATGATGGTCAGCTCTTGCACCTTCCATTGGCCTGCGAGCGTCTGCTGGCATGCGCAGCCGTTGGAAGAGCTGGGCCCGTCGTTGTCTGGCGCTGTGACCGCCGCGCCGTGCGTCTCGATAAATTCGCCGAGCCAGGTCTCTAAAGTAGAAGTCGTCACCAGCATTGTGCGGGATGCTGCATGATCGTCGTTTGAAAGCTTGAGCTACGCATGCTTTGCACCATTCCTTCCAGTCGCGGTGTCGGTCCATCGCCTGGCCGTGCAAGTGCGCGTCGGGGATCTATTCGTCGGCCCAGTGAGCGAGACACCCCTCCATGGTACGAAGCTGTTGGCGCGTGCGACGGGAGTCGTTGGCGGCGTGGTCAGGTGTGAGAACGCCTGGGGCCTAAGGTGGAAAGTCGGGGAAATGGGTGGTGAGTCCAGCCGTCGGGCGCCATGCCTGGAGGCGCCTCGAGGTAGCGGGGCCGCAGGTGCCGGGGTAGAGAGGCTACGTTGGAGTTCGGACATGTATGCTGCCTATGATATTTTCGGCTCGCGCTGGAGCTGTCGGTCGCTATCGCGCCGTGGGCGGCGATCTCCATTTGTTGATCCTGCGGTCGTTTGGCCAGGCTGCCCTGCCCAATTGTCCCGAAGCCGCCGTCGTTCCCTGCGCGCAAGCCTTGCGCTGGACGATTGTGGGCGGCGCGGGCTGGCCATGAGCGGCGGGCGCTTCGGTCGCCCCCCCGCAGTCGGCGGATGTTTCTGTAGAGAGAGAGCCCTTGCCCGCGGGGAGACACTTGCCATCGATTGCGGCCATGAAGCGCCGGCTGATGGAGAGAGAGAGAGAGAGAGAGATAAAAGAGAGAGAGAGAGAGAGAGAGGCGGAAAGCAAGAGAGAAAGAGAGAGAAAGAGAAACTGTCCATCGGCGTGACTGCAGACGGGGCGGCGAGCATCAGCTCGTAAAGCGCGTGGATCTCCTTGGCGGGGAACATCGCGCTCGTGGAGGAGAGCTGTCCGGCGAGGGACATTGTCGCGATGGCTGGGGCGTTGTAAAGCTGGATGCAAAATTGGAGTGGGCTGTTAGTATATGGAAACGCGACCACCATTTGTTCGCGGGTGTTTGCCATTGGCGCGCGAGCCATGCAGCGGGGCCGATGCGCGCACCAAAGTGCGCGGCAGCGCCGCTGATAGTGAACGCGGCCCGCGCAGGGTCGACGGTGACCAGCGCGTCGCAGATGTTGTCGGTGAGGTGCTCGATAAGGCCGGCACACAATTGCGCCAGGACGTATTTCTCGGGTTCAAGGCGAATGCCCGCGAAGTCGGCAGCGGCGCGCATGCGAGGTCGGAGGAGAAGCGAATCGCGAAGGGCAAAAACAGAGCACGACCGATGTCATCGGCGTGTGCATTGGTAATGCGGCCTCCGCGCCGCGGATGGAGACTTGAATTGGTGTCTCCGCTAGATTTGAGCGCGGCGTCGATGCCTAGCAAGAACCGGTTGAGACGCGAGCGCCCAAATATATCCACTGAGAGGGCACCCTTGTGCAACTCCAACGTCAGCGAAACAAGAGTGGGCGGGGCACGTTGTCCAGCGGCAGGAAGGCGAGCGGGCTGTGGCAACAGGCGCGAAGTAGCTGCAGGAAGGAGCCGTGGACGCCCCAGCGCAAAAGCATTTCCAAATAAGCATGCACGGGCCTGGGAAACGCCGCAGCGATGTCCATGCCCAGCAAGGCCTGCGATATTGCAGCATCGGGGCGAATGCTCAACTTGCTCCAGTCTTCGTCGACGTTGGCTATGTTGGCGGGAAGTTGGCGTTCAGGAACAAATTCAAGCTGCACGTCGCTAGTGGAGCCGACAAAAGGGATGGTGCTTCCAGTTGCAAACAAAAGCGATGATCTGGATGTCGCTGCTCTTGATTGATGGCGAACGGAGCGCATGAGGATCGCGTAATTGCGCGCTGGCCGTCGGGTTCTGCCCCATATGAGACCATCCCCATCAGTGACAAGTTGAGATCGCGAGGCGCGGATCCGCCGCGTGCCGGGTGGGACGCAAGCGCCTCCAAAATAAAAGAGCCGAGAGGCGTCGCCAACCGCGCGCGACATGGTCATCGACCAGGGCCAAGAGCAGAGTCGGCTGCGCGCTCGGCCGCAACATCGAGGTCATGCTTGTCGGGGATAGCAGTGTCGATCGTCGCCTTCATGGGGGGGGCCCTGTCCAGGCGCTGGAACACGATCTGCTCGTTGATCTTCTTCTCGGCAAATACGGGCGCGCAGTGCGCTCGGATGGCGCTGCGCACCATCGCCGGGTCGGTCTCGATGCGGGGAATGCCACCAGCGGTGATTCTCTGGCTGTTGGAGATCAGCCGCTTCGCGGAAGGTTGCCGCAGGTCTCCGCGCCGTCGTGCACGAGATGCCCGCTGTCGCCAGCGGCCACCATCACATGGGCGATGGGCAGCAGATGCCTGTCGCGCTCGGGCATTAGCTGCGCGCGCCCGTCGCCCATCAGCTGCATCAGGGCAAGCAGCGGCGGCTTTGGTGCTGATGCGCGGAAGTCGCGGACGCAGATCTTCGCAGGGGGGGTCGCGACCGGCGCATCGCCGTGCATCCGCAGGTGCTCAGCGCCCAAGTGCGCGCCGTCGATGAGAAGTCTGGCAAGCGGCGCGCCCGCCTACCAAGCAGCTCTCTCGATGCTTTTCGTGGGCATGGAATGAACCGCTATTGGTTTCCAGGGCGCCCAGGCAGAGCTTCGGCGGCGCCGCCCGCGCGCGCTGCGCGGCCGTGCGCGCGCTGTCTTTGAGCGCCCTTCATTTAGCCACTGCACCAAAAGAAGAGAAGTCAGTCGTGTTGTCGAGCTTGGTGGCGAAGAGCTGGTAGATGACGCTTTTGCAGATCATGGGCAGGGTCGCTCTGCCAGCAGGTGGTCGCTGTTCTCGCGGACGGATGCGAAGCTGGAAAATCCCGCGGTCGCTGGAGAACGTTTCTATATTCTCGGGAGGTTTTCCGTTCGCGGCGGGCGCGGCCTCCGTGCGCCGGGGGTTGTGCGCCAGCGACGAGATGCAGACGCGGTCGATGGTCGTTTGCTTCTGTTCGCACAGTTCCGGCGAGTGGTCGACTTGCCACCTCGCTAACGCCCTTGAAGTTTTAGCGCCAGAGCGACGGCTGCTACTGGCATTGCGGAAATGCGGCGATGTCCGCAGGGATCGCCATGATGCGCGGCGGATGCTAGAAGAGGCTGAAATCCTCCATCGCGACCGCTGCGTCCTTTGATGGGTCCGAGCGCACGCGTTGCATAGCGGCTTGCCACGTCGCCTTGAAGTCACGCCTGTCGGTCGGGGAAAGGCCGTGGTTGTACGCGCCGAACATCCTGCTGCAATATCGCTTCGCTGCCGGCGATCCGAATCGTGGCGATGCTACCTGGCTCGATCACGTTGAACTCGAGCTCGTGGTGGCCGAGTGATACACTGCTTAATTGTTCGTCATTCTGTTGGCCGCCACGTGGAGCATGCCGCTGCTGCCGCGGCTTTCCTGGAGCACGATTGAGACGTGCTGGCGGAGACAGTCGACCAGCAAGCGGCGCTGGACATCGCGGCGATATGGAGAGATTCTACAGATGGCCTGGGAGCTCCGGGAGGGGACGAAATTCGCGCCGTCCTTCCTGTTGCAGGCGTGTCATGGTGCCCATCTGCTGTCAAATCCACGACACTGACGCCCGTGGGTCCGCGAAGGCGGCAGCGAATTCGCCCGTTAGATCTTGCCCGACAGCGGGGGCGACGCCGGCGGCAACAGC